TGTAAAACTGCAAGATAAAATACCTAACAACGATAAGTAAATAACTAATATTTACTTATATCATCAATAAGCATCAAACGTTGCTTGTAAACTGAGGCAAAACCATCACGTGGGTTCATCCACAGTGTGTCAATCAAGAAGTCAATTTCGTTAAGGTAACAAACCCTTCCAGCATATCAAGTTATATTTAGAAAATCAGCTACTTTGTAAACTTAAGAGAAATCCCATCATAAGTAGCTTTTTCCCACACTACCTGATGTTCATGTTAGCACTTATCTAATTGTATTAGAAATCTCTTTCACGTCTCTGCCTACCTTGATAGATCATAAGTTCTTGAAGTCTTACCTATCTTTCCACCCTAATGCTAGGCCAGGGGCTTCAGAGACCTCAAAGGAAAGGTCTATGATTCACCTAGAGGATGTGTGAAAATGCAGATTGCTGGGCCTCACCCCCAAACATATGGAATTACCATGGTTTCTGTAATGATTTCCAACAGCACTGACTATCAAGAAGATAATAAACCCAAAGGGCATAACTACCTAAGAGCTATGGGTTGGTATTTCTTCTACTTCTTACTTCACACAATTGTTTGGAAACTACTTCCATAAAATTTGATGAATGAAAAAATAAAGGAGAAAGTGTCACCCTGGGTAAACCTTCATCTTGTAACAGAAACAGCTTATGACTTTTATCTTAGAGCATCACAGCAGATCCATGCATTTCTACTGAATCAAAGCAAATAATTTGGGGATTTTAAAGCTAGAGAGACCTTATTATACCTTGTACAAATACATTAAGAAAAAATATACCAAAGATATGTTAAAAATAGAAAGGCTTAAACAATACCTTGTGTTATTCCTGTCATTTATTTAAACAATATTAAAAAATCTAAAATTATTAAACCCAAAATTTTTATGACAAAAATACCCATCACTTTTTTTCATGAAAAGGTATATAAGAAATATAAAATTATAACTTTACAAATAATTCACTTTTTGATCAACACATAACTAAATATGTATAAGTAGAAATATAATAATACATTTTAGAAAGTATCAAAATACAACTTACACTTGCATACATTGATTAATAAATCCCCAAATTTCAACCTTAAAGAAAACATTTTAAAGTAATGCTATGATTTTTATAAAAAAGAAAATCTCTTTTTTCCCAAAACAAATGTAGAATGTCTTATCTGTATATAGTCCATACTATTGCATGGCAAAAATGGTTCAAAATATAAAATGTTTACTCAAAACTACCTTTAGAAAATAGTCTTTAATTTCTCCTTTTTGTTACTGCTGGAAAAATATCTATGGCTATACTTAAATCTTATGAAGACTAATGTCTCCAATTGAAATAAAGATGTCATATTCAATTTTCACCCTCCTAGCAGATAATAGCCATGAGTCATTTCTCAGAATTAGGTTTTCAGGTAATAGGGTAGGGACAGACTGTGCCATTTTGTACACTTCACAACTTTAGAAACATTTTATAATCATGATATGTATAAGAACTTGTAATTACTCTATCTCCTTCAATCTGTGTCAAGATGATAATAAATGTGCATTTTGCACAGGGCACTAATACTTGGGTCTGTGAGTTGAATAGCATCTCCTATCTCTGTATTCACTAATAGCTTGGGTAATACACTTACATGTTCTTCTAAACTAGCACCTCCACCAGAGTAATAGCAATGCTATTGGTATATTTTTAGATATATCAGATAGCAAAAGGGCCATTATATGATCAATCTTTTACATCTTTGGTTGATAACTCTGCTCTATTTAGAAGAACCATTATGTTGATAACTCCATTTTGCTGATGAAATTCATTTTACATTTTACATTTATTATGCTAGACAGGCAGTGATAACTGAAGGAGACCAAGGAGTCTCTAGATGTGATAAAGATCTAGTAATAAATAACAGGGAACTAAATAAAGTATGATTTACTTGGAAAATGTCTACTTGCTAAAGTTACCAGGGAAAATATTGCATACTATACATCATTTGAAAAAAATAAGTTATCTCTTTTTAGTTAATTATCAGTCACATTATAATATCGGATATAGCAGCTCCAGAGGTTAACTGATTACTGCTTTTATAATTGAATTCTTAAAGAGTTTCACATCTTAAAATTATATAATTATATTTTTGAAACACCACAGACACCCAAAATGTACCTATTTGTAATTATCAGCATGCATACATATGATCAGGACCCAGCTATGTTCAAAGCCCCAATGAGCCCAATTTTCAATTATTAGCTGCATTTCCTGCCACAATCTAAAAAAATACGTTGTGTGTGCTCTTAGTAGTGGCCACTGAAAGAAGATGCTGTTTTCAATGGAAGGAAATCAAGAACAAATAAATTAATCATCCCCCACTGAAAAAAAAACATAGAACAAGGGAAAACAACAGAATCCTGAAAACGTCTGACAGTGCCAATAAAATGGGATGTTTAAAAAAATGGTGTGTCTCATAGCAGCAGAAGAGTACCCCACACTTATAGATTACATGACTACACTAAAAACAGACCATTTTTGTGCACTGAGAGTTATGAAAAGGCACAAAGTTCACAAAAGATGCATTTTCAGGTATGGAAACAAAATGGCATGAGGAAACTGACCTTACTATTAGTTTAGCAATAAAGGTGAGAGATAAGGACATTTCAAGGGAAAACCTACTACAGGTAGTATATAAAGCACTTGGGCCCAGTTGGAGCCCTTAGTAATGACAGTGGTCCATTGAATGCTGACAGACAAGAATAGTTACAGCTATGTATGGATATTGGCACCTTACACACAAAATTCTAGAAAGATCATTGTGAATGTGACATTCCATGAATCACAGGGAATCGGCACCATGTTTCAGTTCAGCTTTTATGCAAGCCCAAAAAGGAAGAAGAAACTGACATCCACCAATAATAAGCAATGACTCGTTTAAAATCTAATATCTAGTGCCAAAAAAATTATTTTTGTTATTGTTTAAACTGTCTCTATGGGCCTAGCCTCCTAAGTCAGCCAATAACTTTCCTATCCCTAAAAATATAGACTCCTTTTTTGTCTTTCCAAGAGAAGTGGTATTAAGAATAAATATTTTGGGCCAGGCACGGTGGCTCACGCCTGTAATCCTAGCACTCTGGGAGGCCGAGGCGGGTGGATCGCTCAAGGTCAGGAGTTCGAGACCAGCCTGAGCAAGAGCGAGACCCCATCTCTACTAAAAATAGAAAGAAATTATTTGGACAACTAAAAATCTATATAGAAAAAATTAGCCGGGCATGGTGGCGCATGTCTGTAGTCCCAGCTACTCGGGAGGCTGAGGCAGGAGGATCGCTTGAGCCCAGGAGTTTGAGATTGCTGTGAGCTAGGCTGACGCCACGGCACTCACTCTAGCCAGGGCAACAGAGTGAGACTCTGTCTCAAAAAAAAAAAAAAAAAAGAATAAATATTTTGGAAGCTCCAAAAGAAATCCACTAGACAAGGACCAACAAATTACAACCTGAGGGGATTCTATTTTCAAGTGATGAGCAAGAGCAATGGGACAATCCGTATTTCTATAAGCTACCTTTGTTACACATTAATGACTAAAACAGCTTCTGTACAGGTTTCTAATTAATCGGACAAAGGATATCAGCTTCACAGCATTAAACTTATGGGAAAGGGGAGTGGATGGCAGTAAAAGTAAAGTTTTCCCCAGAAAGCAACAGAGTTATCTAAGCAATAACCCAGCATGAAAAGGGAACTACCTCTGATTTCCTAGACTATGTCCCTCACGGGTGATTATTTCTGATTACCATGGCAGCACACAGCATTTTTCATCTAACACTTGAGAAGAAGCTTGGTCACACCATGCTCTGCCTTATCAAATGATCTATGTTGAAACCATTCATTTCCATTTCTCTTACATCTGTAAAATGTCAAATAAGAATGATAAGACAGTCATTTACCCTCAATTTTCTCAAGCATGTAAGATTTAGAGGGAATGTGCTAGAACTCTAAAATAATAGACTAATATATTTTCTCAATTCTCCCATCCTCCTTTATTTCCAGTTGGAAGAAATCTATTTCTGATAGTATCTCCTCTAAAGTTTAGGGGCAGAAAAGGGCTGCTGTTTAACCCAAAAAAAATTTTTCTCAAACATAGTTATTTTGAGTAAATATCTTTCAAAAGATGAATTCTATAAAGGACATAAAACGTTCCCTGGAGTGCTTATAAAAGGTAACATGAAAGTAGCTATAGTGAAAAAAAGAAATAATGTTTTAAGAACCAAAAAAAAAAAAAAAAATCAAATGCAAGTGGTTCTACCCTACCTGCCTCTTCTTCACCCTTCTTCCACACATGCAACCATGTTCACACACAGCACAGTAGATTTCAACCACAAGTTTTAGGAGCAATTACAAAGAGGCAAAGAAAATCACTCAATCCTTATTTTACAAAGAGAGAACGTGGGCCTTAGAGATCAACAGGCCAAGAAAAAGTCTTCCTTCCCTTACTCAGTGGGTCAAAAAAAAAAAAAAAAGCTTCTAGACCGTCCAGGCATAATTCATATTTCATTTCCTGAATATGTCCTGTTCAAACCAGTATAACAAAATTAAGATGCTATGAGGTAAATCATACTCCAATTCTAATTTTCATTACTTTGAGATTTTGCAAAAGAACTACAAAGCTATTGCAATCAACTACTTACATGTGGGAAACAAGCATGGGAGTTAATGAGGAGCAAAATCATCTCTCTAGAAATACTTCTTAAACCTTTTTTAAACTTTTGAAGGAATATTAAAAGGGACCATATTTTAGGTAATTTATTTCAAGAATACTTACATAAGCAACTGCATTAACAAGTACCCAGAAATCAAAATTGTATTTCAAAGAATGTATTCCATACACATACAATTAAACCAGAGTTCGTACAGGTGTCCAAAAGCAGATTTTATGGGCTTTTTTAAAAATAAGAACAACAGTTCATTTCCTCAGGAGCGGATCACCCACATCATAATCATCCTCGTCTGGCATCACCAATGGCTCCCCAAAGATCAAAGATAAATTCATCTGGGAACGCAAAGTCTCCAAGAGTTTCGTTGAGCGCCATAGAAAATTCATCTGGATTACTTTTGTCCTTTCCAGCTTCAAACATTGTGGTAGCTGTCAAAAATAATTTTAAAAAATTAATGATAAATGGAGATAGCGTCAGGGGACTGAGAAAGTGGCACTAGGAAAATTACTTTCTAAAAATCACATGCATATGTATCATACATTTCTAGCTCAAATTAAAACAGTAACATACCCCTCTCACATATCAAGGTGGCAGAGATATTTTTCAACAATCTGTCCACTGCACTCAGGTTTGCAGCTGCCACCCCTGCCCTCTACCCGACCTTGAGGCCCATCATTTGGGAACCTCTGGCATTCCTGTGGGTGAAACAAGATCCCCTGAGAGAAAATTCTGTGGCTAACACTGGCAGGAAACTTAAGAGTACTTCTCGCATCTCCCTATAGTTACTAGCTCTCTCTGCCTCCTCCTCCCACTCCCAACTATGATGGAGTCCAGTCGTCCCATCCCAAAGTAAAAAAAAAAGACAAAGGATGAGAGCTCGCAAGAGAGCAATAAAGCTAGAGAGAAGGAGAAGAAGACATATATCCACCCATGGAATCAAGGTACCTTTTCTGAACTCCTCGCCCATTTAGGACAGAAAGTGAAGGTGGTACCCTTGTTCTGTTTTTCTAGTAAGTTGTCTAGGCCCCATATTCTATGTCTGGGAACCAGCATCTTCAGGAGTACACATCCCCATGGGACATGCCCCTAGGTGGCTGGGAGCCCATGAAGTTCAGCTGGTTTTTGCTCAGCCCCCAATAAGCGCCAACAACCAAAAAGAGCAGTATGAATGTGACTTGGGATTTGGGTGAAGAACTTCCAGGTAAAAGAGAAGCACCAAATCCCAAGAGAAATGCTCCAGCCTCTCCTTTCCTCCCAGGTTAAGAATGAACTAATCAAAATTCATATGATTTCCCTTAACGAACCACAAGATCTGGTCTTTCAGCTAAATCCACTTAGGGCTCTTTAGAGCAGAAAAGAGCTGTTTCTCTTCCCAGTGGTTCAGTACTAACACAAGGCAGGCTAGGAAGAAAGGAAGGGATGTGGCCCACAGAAGGGCACCATGATCAACGCATAAGTGGGGTGCAGGTGGAGTGACCTGGTACAGGGACCAAAGTTCTAATAAGGTGAGGAGGGCTTCCACCTGGCCAGGCAGTCTTGTGTGGGGCGGGACAGTACAGATGTGGTGAGGAGGATATGGGGGTGGGAAGGAAGGATAGCAGTCCCAGCAATGGGAGATTGGTTACGTACATGGAAAACGATCACATGAGTCTATATATCAAGAACAATGGGAATCAAGTTTGTCATTGCTAGAGAAGGATAAAAAGGGAAAGGGAAAAAACAAGAATATCCCCTATAGAATTGGAATTGCAGCTATCAGAGGAAATATATATATATTCAACTGAGAGATTCTAAAAATATAAATGCATGCATACACACACACAAACACACACACCCATTTCTCAGTCCTGGAAGCATGACACCCCAAGAGTAATGAGAACACAGAACTTGGTTGTTAAATTTCACTCCTCACTAAAAAGAATGAGAGTTTCTTGGAGAAGTGGTTGATTCCAAGACTAGAGCAGGCAAAGTGCAATATGAACCAAGAGCATCTTGTACCAGAAAGAAAGTATTAAAAAAAAACGATAGGAACATGTGAAAAGGACACAGAAGTCAGAGTGCAAGAGCTCCCACTGACCGAATCAGGGATAACTTTAGCATCAGAATAAGTAGGAACAGTAACAGATTATAACTCCATTGAATAAAATACGAAACCACGACTCCATAATGAAATAGATGATTAACTGATTGATTAAAGATAGATAAGAGAAAGAATGAAAGAAAGAAACTGATTCATGAGGAACAGTTTATTTACATAGTTTCAAAACATCTCCCCACAAAATACTTATTAAGGAGAATAACTTTACAATATAGAAGCCTAGCAAACACCACCTAAGTCATCAAAGTAAACATTAATAAGAGAACAAATCAAAAACCTGTGCCTCATGATAAGATTTAATGAAAAGAAGACAGCACCACATTTATGATATTCCTGACAAAGAAGTGTGAAAACTAGAATGCAATTATGGGAAAAAAATTAGACAAACCAAAA